AATTAATTAAATCTGACTATTCTTCGATAAAATTTTCGATAATATTCTTTAGATGAAAATAAATTCTTTTTTTGAGTATATGATAATAAATTTTTCTAAAATTTTTGATAAATATATTTTAAGGTCATTATCGAGAAAATATTTCTTGTTAAAGATATTGTAAAGAATCATTATTTAAAAAAGAAAAGTAAACTGATCACTTTTTTTAGTATGAAATAGAATGATATTTTTCTGTATATATAAAATATGTATAATTCTATTTAATTACATATGACTAGAAATAATTTTATCTATTTTTATATGAATAAAATTTATATATACAATTACACTAGAAAACAAATAAGAAATTTTTAAAAAATTGGAATATATATTAAAAATATTTTCAAAACATTTACTGAAAAAAAAAGTTTATATCTAATTATATATAATTATATATATATAATTAGTTTATATATAATTATATATAAATTATATAATTATTATGATTATATAATTACTACATATATTATAATTATACATAATTAGATATAAACTTTTTTCCCAGTATTTACTTAAAAACATTTTAAAAACATTTTCAATATATATTCTAATTTTTCTAAAATTTTTTTATTTGTTTTTTAGGTCCGGATCCTATAATGTTTGACATAAAATACTGAATATGATATAATATCTTCGAAATTTCGTATAATAAGCAATTTTTTTATTCCGTGATCGTAACGGAAGCCCTTGGAACGATATCGAGTTCAGGATGTGACCTCGGCCTATAGAAGTACCGTCAGTGAAGCGAAAAGAATCGGAGTACAACGGCGAGGACGCTCGTTCCCACGAATCCAGAATGTGAAATTGATTAGATAAAGATATACACTTTTATATTGGGCATTATTAATGTCATTAAGCTATCATTAATTTCGATTCGCGGCAATAAACAATGCAAAATACAAAAGTGGCTCTATGACAATACATTTTCTCCAAGACTCGTCGATTTTTTGTTGTCAAATAAATTGTGTGTTAATCAGAATTTATGTGTCCGGAACTTATTCTGTACTTCCCAAAGACATTACATCATGGCCACGATTTAATAATGCAAGACAACCTTGCGCGACAATGTTGTGCTAAGTTCAAGAAATTATTCTGACAGGCAAAATGTCTTACTCTACGCTCTGATTTTAACTTTTCAAATTGAGGAAGTCCTTGTAATGTAATAATTATAAATGTGAAAAAGATTGAATATAACAACGTAAAATTTAAACAAAGTTAAATTACTTTTTCTACACGAAGAAAATTTTATACCCAAAATTACTATAGTGTAATAGAAGTTGCGGACCATCAGATAATTATAAGTTTAAATGCTATAGCCATTAACTTTTAAAACAATAATGCAACATAATTTTTATACTATAATTGTTATAGTAAACATTTTTATACTATAAAGGCAAAACTTGTTGGATAAAAGTTAGTATTGTAAAAACAAGTAAAAAATATATATCGAATATATTTTTACTTCATATCAGTAAAATTAATTTTTTCCATTTTAGAATATGGCTTTAGCGTTGATTTCACAAAAATTACTTTATTTATGTGATAAAAATTAATGTAGCCACAGTAAAAGTTATATCAAAATTATGTAAACGTTTCAAATTCAGTTTACTATGTTGTACTGTAATTTAGTTTATAAAGTCATGATGGTCCACTGATAATAAAAAAATAGTAAAATGTGATTCAAAATTGTATTAAAACTTAATATAAAATTTTCTCCGTGTATATTTGAAAATTATAATTTATTTAGTAATAATAATATAGTATAATAATTTAGTATAATTGTTTGATAAAGCATTAATAAAAAAGACTAATATTCTCTAAAACAGTCGACATTCGACATATCGAAGAGTACGAAAGAACACGATCGGTTCAGGTTGAAATATAAATTTTCGATAACGCGTCCTGACAACCAACGACAGGATGAGTCTAGGAGTCGAGCGACAGGAGCGGGATGCTGTCGGTGAGAGGGGAAGTTGCATAAAAGATAACGTGTCTCGCACGCGGAGGTCAGTCGATGATTGGGAGGCGGTTTGTAACTGATGCAAAACATTTCGTGAAAGTTGTTCGAGACCTGGGCTGAGAGATCAAATTATTTCGCAAAAGATTGGTGAATCGGTATGCTGCGCCTGTGAGTATCCCGTTAATTCATTATATACGTTTACTCTTGTCGCTATAAGAGTAAAGTCGATAATTACTGATAACCAGAAATTAATCTCGTAATGAAATGCAAAGAAATAATTACACGATTCTACAATTAATAATTTTGAAAAATTATTAATTAAAAAAATATTGCAATAAGAAGATAAATCACAATGTCGCTACAATGTCGCTTTATTTTTTTGCATTGCCTATATGAATTAAATAAAAAATAATTCTTTTTATCCGTAAAGAATAAATTTCTGTCAATCTTTTCTTTCGTCGCAAAACATTTATTTAAGGTCGTTTAATCGTTTTGCGAAGGATGATTATTCTCTTCCCAATATCATATATCATATATCATATTATATGTCCGTGGTCGGTATTCACATCAAATATATCCGGATGCACGATGACGATCATTCATGATCTAACGAGTTAATACGCCGGACGAGTGCACTTCGCGCCTGGGCGAGACTTTCAAATTATTGTTCGACCTCGCGATGTTATTTAACGTGTTGCATTCTATCGAACAATGTCGGCCGAAGATATTATTTATTATCGATCCAATCGAATTTTTCAAAATTTGCAATTTAATTTATATATTTTAAAAAATTAAATTATTCAAAAAAAATTGGATACATTAAGAATTAATGAGATTTTTATTTTTATCGTACTAATATGTCTCGCGAAACATAATATTGCGAAATCATAATACTTTACGATAAAAATATGACACTATAAATAGTAACATAAAAAAATATCTTATCAAACATTTCATATCACTACAATGTAGTAATAAAATAAAACGATCAATTGTCGTTTCATGTTTGTTTTTTCATAAATTTTTTGATTTTTTCCATATTTTAAAAAATCTTCTTTAATTATTAACTAATTAATTAATTAATTAATTTAATCTCACTAAAAATATAATTAGATTTTTCCATTTTTTGTTGTAACTAATAAGATGTATATGTAATTGTATCATCAGAATCCTGATAGCAGCAGTTATAACTCTGGTGATAGCCAAACCAACATCGGAGGATGCAGTGAATATCAGTAAAAATCTGCAGACTGCCGATGATCTTCTGAAATCCGCCCAAGAGATCCTGAAACGCCTTGATGCACAGTACGCTGAATGGAGTAATAAACAGAGCATCGCAGGATGGAATTACGCGTCAAATCTGACGGATGCGAACTTGGCAGAGAAGCTGAAGGTGTCTGCAGAAGCGGCGCGCGTCTCTAAGCAAATGGCCCAGGAAGTGAATTCCTTTTCTTGGAGAGACTTGGAAGACGAAAGCCTCAAGAGGCAATTCAAGAAACTTGGTGTACTTGGCACCGCCGCTCTTCCTGAAGACGTAAAGAGATACGAAGAAATCTATACAAATTACTTGCATTTATTAATAAGCTTTCTACGAAAAATTAGTGGAAGAATAAACTGAAATTTATAACAAAATACTCAAATCTTAGTTTAAAATATTTTCTATTTTTTTCACTAATTTTTAGAAATTAGCATGTTTAGACAATTACTAATTGATTAAAATCGGAAGTACAAGTTAAATCATGAAGATATTAACAAAGAAAATATAATTGCAGAGTTACAAGGAATTCGAGACGACGATTAGTCAAATGGAGAACATCTATAGCACCGCGAAAATCTGTGATTACAATAACAAGAGCAAGTGCGACCTTGCACTCGAACCAGAGATTACCGAGTTGCTGATGCGCAGTCGAGATCCTGAGGAATTGAAGCATATCTGGGTGGAATGGCGGAAGGCGTCGGGCGAGAAAGTCAAGTCTCTGTACCCCAAGTATGTCGAGCTAGCCAACACTGCGGCGAGACTCAACAACTTCTCCGATTACGCGGCATATTGGATGAAGGATTATGAAGCTGATGATTTCCCTGATCAAATCGGTAAGATCATCTGCGGTACCATCTAAATACAATAAAGTGTTCAAGAAAGTTAATGTATTTATGGGTATTATCCGTGTCATTATAATATACAGAGTGTCCGGTATCAGTCATATCACCTCTCGTGTGCAGGTAGAGCTGGTAAAACTGAATATTAAAATCCTCTATCATTTTGCAATTTTCGCGGTAATTATCGAGTTATTAATTATTAAAAATCACCATATTAGCTCGGCCCACCGACAAATGCAAGTGGTAAGATACTCCCGCCTGGCGATCATCATTGATAAACGCGTGAAGAATTATTTTCTTCAATATATTAGCTATAACTATTGCCGCTTAAAGTAAACAATTCTTCACGCGCCTATCAACGATGATCGCCGGGCGGGAGTATCTTACCGCTTGTATTTGCCGATGGACCGGCTGAGATAAGACGGTGATTTTTAAGAATAAATAACTCGATAATTATTGCGAAAATTACAAAATGATAGAGGACTTTTCTACTCAGTTTTACCAGCTCTACTTGCACACGAGAGGTGCCAGATATGACCGATGCCAGATACTCTGTGTGTGTGTGTGTGTGTGTGTGTGTGTGTGTGTGTGTGTGTGTGTGTGTGTGTGTGTGTGTGTAAGTTACGTTAACGTATTAGTTACTAATAGTGTGTGTGTATGTATATATATATATATATATATATATATATATATTTCGTAAACATTGCAGTTCATTTCATCACTGTATAAGTATCAGGCTGCTCCTCGCCCTGATGAACTGCAATGTTCACAAAATGTTGGCATTCAACAATGTATAATGACACGGATAATATCCGTAAATATATTAATTTTTTTGAAAATAGTAATCGTGTAAGCCTTAAAAGTACAATAAAGCATTGATAAAATGACAAAATTTCCATAGAAAATCAATGGCAACAATTGAAGCCGTTGTATGTACAACTGCATGCCTATGTACGGCGCGAGCTCAGGAAGAAATATGGCGAGGACATCATCTCTAAGGACGGCCCGATTCCGGCGCATCTGTTGGGCAACACGTGGGCGCAGACTTGGGCGAATATCGCCGACTTCACTGTGCCATTCCCGGGCAAGCAGCTGCCGGACGTTAGCGCCGCTTTAGTAGAACAAGGCAGGTTTAAGTCTTTCAAGGCATTACTGCTGAATGGAGATTGTTTCGAGTTAATCTTTCACCTCCAATCTTCTGTATATGTTGTAATGTCTTGTAACACGTTGAGCAGGATACAATGCGACGAGCATGTTCCGCCTCGCTGAGGATTTCTTCACGTCAATCAACTTGACTGCCATGCCGGATACATTCTGGGAGAATTCGATCTTGACGAAGCAGAAAGGTGTAGATATGATCTGCCACGCGAGTGCATGGGACTTCTATGACGGCAAGGATTTCAGGATCAAGCAGTGTACGCGTGTTAATATGGAGGACTTGTTGACAGCTCATCACGAGATGGGTCATATTGAGTATTATCTACAATACAAGGATCAACCTACAGTCTTCAAAGAGGGCGCGAATCCAGGCTTTCATGAGGCGGTTGGTGATGTTATATCTCTTAGTGCGTCCACTCCTAGTCATCTCAAGAAGATCGGTCTACTAAAAGACGACTCAACTGACCGGGAGGCACTTCTTAATCACCTTTATGTGAAGAGTCTTGATAAGATCGCCTTTCTGCCATTTGCTTATATGATGGATCGGTGGCGTTGGAATGTATTCCAGGGAAAAGTTACACCCGACAATTACAACTGTCACTGGTCAGTGTTTTGGAAAATGAAAATGTTATTACCTTTTTTATCAATATTCTTCTTTGAATAAAAATTTAATAAATCAGAAAAAGAATTAAGTTTAAAATATATTTTAAGCAAATTAAGATCTTTTACTTTAAGGTGGTCACTTGCGGAGGAATATCAAGGTATCGAACCTCCCATAGATAGATCGGAAGAAGACTTCGATCCTGGTTCGAAGTACCACATAATCGCAGATGTCGAGTACATAAGATATTACGTAAGCTTCGTAATTCAATTCCAATTCCATAAGGCATTGTGTACTAAAGCTAAGCAATACGATCCAAACAATCCAGAAGCCAAACCATTGCATCAATGTGATATTTATGATAACAAGGATGCTGGAAATCTGCTGAAGTAAGTTTAATATTATCATAATATTATAAGAATACAATATAAGCAACGATTGCGTTAGATCTATGCTGGAATTTGGTTCCTCAAAACCATGGCCAAATGCGATGGAGAAAATCTCAGGTCAACAACAGATGGATTCGGCTGGACTTTTGGAATACTTTAAGCCCCTGACTGATTGGCTGACTGAAGAAAACAAGAAAACTAATGAGTACATTGGATGGAACCCCACTAAGAGACGTATGTATTATAAGTAGAAAATATTTCATTAAGTTTTATAATTCATATTTTATATAAATTATGTATATTTTGTCAGATGTTTTTATGATAATTGCAAGATAATTTATACTAATTGTTCTTTTTTTCATTTTAGAATGTGTACAAACGAGAGAAGAGCTTAGAACAGTCACTGAACCTTCAGAATAATATAAATTTTCCATTAATAAGAAAGAATAGAAAATATATGTATTTTTTTTTTTGAAACATAAACGCCAAGTCATTGCGTTTTGATGCAATAAATCTAGCAAGCAATATATATAAATATCATTTCACGATCATAAAACGCTATTTTGAACAATTCAATCAAGCGGTAAACAAACGTTTATAATGTTTATAATTAATTTTGTCTCAAGTTTTCTAAATAAAATGTGCATTCCATCCTTCATATTGTCTTCTATTTTGCTTTACCGCGTCCTCTTCCACGTTTCTTAGCAGGTTCACCACCTCTTTTCGTCGGCACAGCAGTTTTACTATTACTAGCAGTGGTAGGTTTCTTTGCCTAAAATACATTAAATAATCATATTTTTTCGAAAAATTGTACTTAATAATGAAATCGCGAAAATGATATTTCATATTACCTTGATCATTTTATCGGAATCAATATCGTTAGATTCTTCTTCATCATCTTCCTCTTCTATAATATCATTATCCTGCATAGATCTTTTCTTCCCAGTAGCAGTATTGTTAATTATGTACGGCAGCATAGAAGGATTCTTTTGATATGCCCTCGTAAACGCTGTTTTCACCTGAAAGAAAGAGAGAGAGAGAGAGAGAGAGAGAGAGAGAGAGAGAGAGAGAGAGAGAGAGAGAGAGAGAGAGAGAGAGAGAGAGAGAGAGA